GTGAAAACTACCAAATACTTCCCCGGGCTGGACTGAAATTCCTTCATAAGGTAAAAATAATAACCCCTCAGGGTCTTGTTTATAAATAACATGTCTCAGGTTACCTAGTAACAAAACTTGGGCCAGACCAGTCTACTGGTTGTTCCTTCCACATGGAGAGCATTCCACTTCTCAGCACTATCACTCTGAGCTCTGAGGGGCTACTATTACATCCTTTTGGTATCAAGAAAAAAAAAAAAAGTCTTTCTTGGTAGGCGTTCTATGACATCTTCCTTCATACAACTCTAGTCTAAATTGTGCTTGTTGACATCATGCTGTTTTTCTTCCAAAACATCATGCTGTTTTTCTTCTTATCAATTATTACATTTAAAGCCCAACTTGCCATTCTTTTTTTTTTTAATATATATTATTGATTTTTTACAGAGAGGCAGGGAGAGAGATAGAGAGCTAGAAACATTAATGAGAGAGAGACATCTACCAGCTGCCTCCTGCACACCCTGTACCGGAGATGTGCCCGCAATCAAGGTACATGCTCTTGACTGGAATAGAACCTGGAACCCTTCAGTCTACAGGCCAACGCTCTATCCACTGAGCCAAACCAGTTTTAGCACAATTTGCCATTCTTTAGATCAACATTCTTTAAATACATAGCTAGGCTGAGGTTCTGTTCTCAATTCATATCCTTTTGTTGTTAGTCAAACATATCCATGTGGAAGTTTTACCCCACATCCCCAAAACCTAACCACACCTTCCAAGCATCACAGTAAAAACATTTCCCCCAATCATATATAACCCCCTCTGTGAAAATACTGTTGTCAAATACAACTTTCTATATCTGCAATTATAATTAAACTCTGTCCTGGGAAAATCCGTGGCTAGTCTATGTTTTCATCCAATTCTGTCTACAATTACCAGTTATTTGTATGATTTTCCATTTTATGTTGATATCTGCTAGTAGACTATAAACATTCAGATAGAAAAGGCATCTGTTTTGTTCAACACTGTATCCTGGTGCCAATAAAATGCCTAATACAGGATAGATGCTCAATAAGTGCTTGAATAACAAATTATTCAATCCATAAGCTATGTTATTTTAGACATTAATGTGCCTATCAAAAGTCCTTTGTATAATGTGACATACAGAACTTACTTCTCTACCAGAGACCACATATGTCATACCAACTTTAGAAATTATTAGCCAGTATAATCAGTGACATTTTTCGGAGTTAGTTTTCTATTTTCCATTATCAGCATTTTGAAAATTCAACTCCTTTGTTATATTTTCTTTTGCTCACCCATACCAAATACACAAGTCCTACGTGGGAATGGAAATAGGGGATCCCTTTATCACTCAGGCATTTTATTGCTGGTCTAAAGCCCAACTGCATATGTGCAAAATAAAGACTTAAGGAACTACTGAAATACTCTTTCCTTTATTTATTTTGGGAGGTAGGCAGACTTCCTCCACTAGACACTTTTACCATCATCTAATTAATCAGTTAAACAATAAAACACTAACAAAATACGATAGCAATATTTGTAGAATACGGCGATTGTAAAAACTTAATATCAACTAATAAAAACAGAAAATATGGGGTGTTTCCAGACAATTTCTTATACTAAACTCTCATCCCTTATACTTTGTTGTAGTAAAAACTTTGAGAGGCATTTCTGTACCAACTTCTCGGGGGCAGTTTTTCATTTTAAAATTCAGGAAGTTTTTATTTCCTCCAACTTTCTGTTTTTACAAATTAGAGAAAAACATTCTGAACATTATTGTTTTTTGTGTTTGATAGGGAAGATAATAATTATGAATAACTGCAAACATGTATGGATAGCTGATTAATGCTAGACATTTACACATGAGCTCTTGTTTAATCTTTCTAAGAATCTTCAAAAAACGATCATGTTTTTAATCCCATTTTATCACTAAAAAGAAAGATTAGTGAGACTATATAACTTTCCTAAATCCAAAGCTATAAATGAGATGCCCAGAATTCTAACTCATACCATCTTGATTCAAAATCTCATGTACCTAATGCCCACATCACAGACCAGTGTGTTTATGGTTACATATTTATTTTTTATATAAGAAAACTTTTGAGTAAACAACACTGAATATAACTAACAAATATATGCATGTAGAGAACAAATTACACCCTGAATTTTAATAAAGTTTTCTGCAAAGATATATTTTCCAGAAAATTAAATTTTGGCATTTTGGCAATATACTTTATAATACACTTTAAATAAAAATAATCTCTCCTATAAAAAATGATAATGGTAAAGGAAAGAGATATCTCTTTATTTTCCTTCATTAGTGCACCAAAATTATAAAGAAGTCATGAATAATGTTAAAATCAATCAATTTCAGAATAAAAGTAATATTCCCCTTAAATAGTACCAGACAAAGATTGCATTCTATGTTCTATGGTATACACATACACACATATATAAAATAATGTAACATGCAGGATTATATTTTTGTCATTTGCTAATTTTTAATTCTTAAAAAAATTATATAACTTCTATAATTACTGTGTTGTAATCCTGAAACTAATACAAAATAATATTGAATGTAACTTTAATTTTTAAAAATAAAAAACAACAGAAGGAATTGGACAGTTTTAACGGATATGGAATAAGTTGGGATAAAATAAAGTCCAAAATACAATGTGGAAAAATCTATAATTATAAAAGACTAAAGGCCTGGTGCACAAAATTCATGCACTGGGTTGGAAGGGGTCCCTTAGCCTGGCCTGAGCCATTTTGCAGTCTGGGACCCCTTGGGGGATGTCTGGGACCCCTTGGGGGATGTCCAGGACCCCTCCCTCCTTACTGCCTGCCTGCTTGCTGCTCGTTAGCGCAGTGACCTCCAGGGGACAGCTCCTGCATTGAGTGTCTGCCCCCTGGTGGTCAATGCACATCATAGCAACTGGTCATTCTGGTTGTTCCACTATAAAAGTTGCTTAGGCTATTATTATATAGATAAGAAATACCTGATGTGTCATCATTTATGTTATTATTTAAATCTATTAGCTCATTTTGTTCAAAAGTATTAGTAATATCAAAGAGGGTTCAGATTAACTAAACTCCATAAAAAGGCTCCCCTACTCCCTCTTTTTCGTCTAGCTCCCTGGTTGGCAAACTGTGGCTCACAATCCACATGCAGCTGTTTGGCCCCTTGAGTTTTTAGCAAAGGCCAACTTAGGAGTACCCTAATTAAATTAATAACAATATACCTACCTATATAGTTTAAGTTTAAAAAATTTGTCTCTCAAAAGAAATTTCAATCGTTGTACTGTTGATATTTGGCTCTGTTGACTAATGAGTATGCCGACTAATTTCTAGCTATTCACGAAGATGATGGTGGAACTAGTTCCTGGCCTTTGCTCATAAAAGCACAAAAGGGAAATTGTCAGTAAGTACAGTATACTTCTCAAGATTGCAACCTAAAATCTCTGATTGCTGTGAGTCATGAGATTTTTCACTTGGCCAGACTGTGAAGGTAAACTGTATTTCATGTGCCATGAAAAAATTCCTAGCAGTACTCTCAAACACTAACTTGCCAAAAGTGAATGCACAGTTCTGTAGTATATGTCTGCAAAACTTTCTCTAAGTACACAATCCAATGTTATTCCTATGCATTGAAGCCGGCCTTACCTAACAGCCTAAATATCCAGGTTTACTAGCGTTTATGAGAAGGCAATGTTTTATGTATTCATCAATCATCTTTTAAGTATAGGCCTCAATACTAATGTGGCATTCAACGCAAAAATACAACATAAAGTCTTAATCCATCATCATGTCAGTGTTATGAAGATAAAATATATACATTAGTATTTAGTTTAAAAGGGAATGAATCAATGATCATAGGCACTTTACATTTCTATAGAAGGGTGGCTTACTTTTTAGATTCCTGGGAAGGGAAAAAGAGAAATCCCAAACATGAAGCTATTACAAGTTTCTTCTAATAAATTGTGGGAAAAGGGAACTTAGAATTAGATAAATAACTTCATGCTATCCTATGTAGTTAACTAACTAGATATTATTAAATTCATGTAGCAAAGTGTCTTCCTGCCTTCTAAACCCCCAGAGGGAATATTAATATTGTATGTTGAAGTATTTCCATCATACTGAGTTATCCTGCCATTTAAAATAATAACTTAAGACATATCATATATTATAAAGATGTAACGTGCAAATGGTCGTTATGCCATGAAGCATAATAATTGGACCACTGATCAGCAGGAGGGTGGAGCAGTGAGCTACAAGCAGGTAATGGAGAGTTACAGGAGGGGGCAGGACAGCAAGTTATGAGGGAGAGCAGGGAGGCAGAGGGAGTTACAGGAGGGGGGGGCAGTGGGCAGAGAGCTACTGGAGGGCAGCAGTGGACTACTACTAGTGAGCTACTGGCACATGGATTCATGCACAGGGCTACTAGTATAAAGATAAGAACTCAAGCTACAATTTTGTAGCCAGACACCTAACTTTAAAATTATTTTAATGGCCACTTAACATACAAGTTACTTAAAAGCGAATGATCATATTTCAAGCATTACAACTTCATAGCATTTTATGTCACTGTCATCCAAGTAAGTTCCAGTCTAAAGAATTGCAAGAAGAAACATCGTGATTCACCTTTTAAAAATTTCTCAATGGGTAACTTCTATGAGAGATTTATGCATTTATACTTACAAGCAGTTACTCTATAGATTGTCCTTTCCAACTGGGGATTTGAAGGTAAATGTTATTTTGCAAATTTAAATATTTGAATTCTGACATTAAATGACTTGATACATAAAACATACCGTAGTTAGTAAAACTGAATTGCATACCTATATAAAACTGAGTTTAGTTCCTGCTCTCAGTGGCATTGTGCTGGACACACAACTCGGTTGGGTATAGTGTATCGCATGTGATTTAGGCTTTGCTCACTGAATAAAAGAAGAGTTACCTCTAGTGCTGAAACAAATCGAGGCTTCACTTGTGTCCCTTACCTTTGCCATGACTTCTCCCATCCTCCAAAAGCGGCACTACAATAGTGTTGTTCACATTTCCAGGTGATCGCACGGCTGTGTAGACAACAGGCACCGACTGTACCACCACGGGGATGCGGTGAACGTGACTCAGTTTGTTAGACTGCAAATTCATAGGACTTGACGGTGGTACAGGATGGATAATGTGCAAAAACTGCTGGCCTCCTACACCAGATGCTGAGGCAACAAGGGGCCCAGGAGTTAATACTGTAGACGAAGATGATGCTGAAGATACTGATGTTATAACAGTTGGGGAGGAGGCTGGGCGACTAGAAGACGATGAAGAGGTTGACGTTGAGGAAGGCGAGGAGGCGGATGCTGTCATGGAAACTGGGGAGGATGACACGGCTGTGGGGGAGGTCCTGGCTTTGTTGATAGACAAGTCCACTGGCTCAGTTTGTGTCTGGAAGTGATCTACAGATAACGAGTCCTCCGGGGGCTCCCCTTTCACATTATTTAACAACAGAGGAACAGCTTCCATATCGGGGTAGTTGTGGGCGTTTGGAGACTGTGGGGAGAAAAATGGAACACACATTTATCTTTGATGGTCATACATTTTAATAGGTGCAAGATTTTTTTTTTTTTTTTACTGGAATGATTGTTAATTTTCTTATTGCTATGAGACATTAATCCGTTCCCCAAATTTTTCAAGGATTGTGCTGTGCCAATTATGATTAAAATTGAGGGTACAAAAGCACTAGACAGAGTAACTCAGGCCTCTGCTATAAAGACACTTCCATCCTGTTGGGAGAGACAGGCAGAGCTACTAAAATCCAGTGAAATAAGTGTGTTATAGAGAAGGAAGGAGGACATAGGAACCTAACAGTGAACATCATTTTTCAGAAAATATTCTAAAAGGCAAGTTCAGTATGTAAAGCATTACCTACTTAAAACTTCAAATACAACCTATTTATTTAAAAACATTCATTTTGTTGGTTTTACCCACCCTTCATTTATGAGTCTCAATTTCCTCAGTTATAAACGAATGGATTTCTGATTAGATAACCTGAAACATCATTCCAGCTCTAGGTTCTATGATTTTATAATCTAACACTTATCCAACATTGTCATAATCTGGAGGCATAATGTTACCTGGCAATGATACTGGAAAAACTTTCATGTTTGCTAAAAAATATACCGTACACTTCTCGTGAGCATTAATACAAACCATTTCTAACAATTAGATTGTAACTTAACTTAGTGACAACAACATTTTTTTCTCAAAATAATTTACACAACTACTATAATATGCCTATTAGAAAATAATAATCTCAGGGAAAACAGTTTTTTTCTGGAAATTTTAAATTGTCTATGACTGTCTTGTTTAATTTAAGATTATTATAATAATTTGACCAAATTCAATGTTATTCTTTTAATGTTTTTTTTAATGTTTTTATTGATTTGAGAGAGAGGAAAGGATAAAAAGGAAGAGGGAGGGAAGGAAGGAAGGAGGGAGGGAGGGAGGAAAGGAAGGAGATGGAGGGATGTCAGAGAGAAACATCAATGGGCTGACTCTCATATATACCCCAACCAGGGATCAAACATGTGCCCTGACCAGGAATCGAACCCACAAACTTACGGTGTACAGGCTGACAACCAACTGACCCACATGGGCTGGGCTCATTCTTTTAAGTTTCAACGAGCAAATTTTAATAATAATAGTAATACTACTACTACTACTAATAAAGACTCTAAGAAAGATTTTACCCAGACTAATGGATGCAGCATTTTATTCCTGGACATTAATACTAGTATCATTTATTCTTATATTCAACTACTCATAAATTCAACAAGTATTTACTGGATGCCTACTTCTGAGGCCCATAATGGCTCAAGAATTCACTTGGCATGTGTCAGCCTTAACAGAGAGTTTAAATCTAACTTGAGCAGGCTAGTATAGATATTATTGTTCTATTATATGAAAACCAAAAACTCTTTTTCAGCTTCATTATGGTATCAAAACAACAATGTCTAAAATCATATGGTATCAGAACAACAATGCCTAAAATTATATGAAATTGGTACATTTCATTGTAAAATATTTTGGTTTGCTATTCTCTACCAAACTTGAACACTTAAAGGAATGAAATATATTTCTTAAAATTTTCCTTTATAGAATATAAATTATAACTCTATTCAGAACATTTAATAGGCATTAGTGTAAGGGAATTTTATCTTGCAACAAGGAGAAAAGAAAAAAAGTCAACAATTGCACCAGATCAGCTAAAATGGGAAATTAATTGATGATGAGCAAATTTTAATAATAATAGTAATACTACTACTAATAATAATAAAGACTCTAAGAAAGATTTTACCCAGACTAATGGACGCAGCATTTTATTCCTGGACATTAATACTAGTATCATTTATTCTTATATTCAACTACTCAAAAGTCAACAATTGCACCAGATCAGCTAAAATGGGAAATTAATTGATGAAGTGTTTTTGTTTTTTTTGTTATTGGGTTATTTTTTCTTCTAAGATAACATGGTTACTGACCCTATAGAATGATAAAATTAGAAAATATACAAAATGAATCACCCAAAATATTTCCTGCATGAAATTCTAAATAACAAGTTTTCATTTGTGTGCTGAAACTGAGAAATAAGTTTTAATCTTCTTTGACATCAATAAACAAACAAAAAAATATAAAACCATAAACAACTACTTTTATAAAAAGTTATCATTAACCAGTTTTCTAACCACAACATTTTTTAATTGGTTCCCAGCATTATCACCTAATTACTTTGTAGAACATTATGTTTCTCATTAGTATGTTATAGCCACATAGAAACCCTGTTATTTTATGAAAGGTTGCTTTCCTAAAACACTGCAAATGATCTATCATTATAATTATAAAGTTTGTCATTTAACCTATGTTATCAAATACTTTTTGACTTCAGACATAGTCTTAATTAAATTTTCTCTTTGTACTGTATTAAGACATTTCAAAATTCTAATTTTGGAAATAGTGACCACTTTCATCACACATTATTCTCCTCCAGTATCTACAATACTTACACACAAGCTTCCTATATAGATTTACAAACCAAGGGCAGAGACGTAATTCACTATTGTAGAAACATTTTAAAAAGTAAACAAAAGACTTCTTTAGCAAATTATGACAATACCGAAGGTGACCAAACTTCCCTGAGCTTTGTAACTGGCTTAGAATCCCCCAGATTATGAATAGGAGTCCACCTTTTGAAGGTAGCTGCTTAGTCTCTCAATAGGAAAAATATTTACTCTTTAAAGCAATTTTACAATACTAGAAGAGTGTTTCTTTTATTCTGTTGTATATATTATAAAGCTATGAAAACTGTACATTAATAACTAATTGGAGCTTTCAAAAACTCGAGAATTACATGGCTTTTGTATGAGCTTATGCCAAAATATACAAAATGCTCATAAAAATTAGGAAGGATACACCAAACCTTTGAACTACAGATTGTCTTATGTGGAACCTTGGACACATTATGCATGAATATATAAGCATAAACATCACAGTGGCACATGCTGGTTCCTTTTACATATGTAGCAACTGAAATGCAGCCAGCATGTCCAAAAACAACGCCTCATCAGTATAAAGAGGACAAAATCCTTATTGTACCATTCATCTGTATGCAGTGTTGACATTATAGCATATCCTCACTGTCCACACTAATCGCTTCTACAGTGAAAACATGAAAGGCAAAGCCACCCCCAATCCCAGCTTTAGACTGCACATACACATACGTAAACCAGCAATCCTGCGGAAATATGGTTTCAAAACAGCTATGGCATACTCTTGCTCTTCCTTTTAGGAAAGAGCAAAGACCTGAGTGACTTAGTCCGGAAGTCAGTATTAGGAATTCAATTCTTTTCTTCTGAAAGTGGAACACTGAAATGGACCGGTTCTGAGGTTTGAATCCATGAATGTGTGGCTGCAGTGAAGTGATGGGGAGCGTAGGAGACAACCAAGAAAGAACAAAAGCTGAGAGAAACCACAGGAAAACACTGAAAGAGAGGCACATAGAGCTTCCCTTTAACAGTTGAGTAAAAGGACGGTACATATTTGAGAAAGTGAGAAAAGATATGGGTATATTATCAGAAAACTAAGGGATAGAGGCACTGAGAAGACCACAAATAAGAAAAGTTGTAAACTGTAGCACATTGAGGAAGAGAAACTTCTGTAAAAAGAACAAATAAAGGGTTCCATTCTCAAATTTTCCCTTTGTGATTAACTGGGCAATTCTTGATACATCACTGACTTTCTAGTGTCAACTAAACTTGGTTGCTTTGTTGTTTGTTTTAAAGCTCATTAAGAGTTTTGCCTGAGAATAGTAATTTTAGCTGATTTTTAGCTGTTTATCATTCTGGTGTGGAGGACATGATTCAACACTAAATTCAATATATCTGGGGAAAAAACCCTGCACCTTTAAAGACATGGAGATTGTAAGAAAAGACTGGATTTTTGTCAAAGAGAATGAGAGCAATTTCATTTTTCAAAATATTATGTATCACTTAAAAGGGTCTACAAGTAAAATTTTATATAACATGTCAAGAAATAATTGTGTAAATACACACAAAAGCGCATCAGAGTAAACATAACAATTCTAATATATAAAAACTCAGGGTCCATAACATCCAAAATGATGAAAGGCTCAACTGAACACCAATGTCAGTCCTACAGTCAGTGCTGGGTTGCTGGGGAGACCCAGCACTGACTGCCACTGGTGTGGGCACAGGGACCCAGCACTGACTGCCCAGGGGGCTTAGGATCAGTCCTGGAGAAAGGCCCACAGAGAGATGCAGTGTCTGATCCACGGTCGCTGTGGCAGCTGTTGATCAGCTGTTGCCACTCTCTCTCTGGGCTTTGCCAGCAGCCATGCCTCTGTTTTTCTCCAGGCCACCTTGGTTGCTGCTGATCAGCCCTACCTCTCTGATCAGGCCTGGAGATACATCCAGAGATGCTGACTGGCATAGAAGCTGACCAATCAGAACCAAACCTGGGTGAGCTGTGAAGAGCCAATGGCTGCCTAGGAGGCAGAGCTTTTCACACAGACTGGCATAGGAACCGACCAATCAGAACCAAATTGGCCAGCAGGGGAGGGCAGTTAGGGGTGATCAGGCAGGCAGGCAGAGGGGTTAGGGACAATCAGGCCAAGGCAGTTAGGGGCAATCAGGAAGGCAGAGAGGTGAATTGTTAGAAGCCAGTGGTCCCAGATTGAAAGAGAGATGTCTGATTGGAGAGAGTGCAGGCTGGGCTGAGAGAACCTCCTACCTCCTGTGCACAAATTTCATGCACCAGGCCGCTAGTATACTTCATAAAAACATGTGCATGAAAACCTAAAGATAAATAGAAACAAGATTATTTTGTCACACTATCACTTTTGCCAAAAGTCTTAAAGCCACTTTTATTCACAAAATAAATATTATTTATAATATTCTATGAACATATTCCTTTAGTGATCTGGAGTTTACACATGTGTTTTTCTAATCACATAATCATTTTCCTGAAAAAACATG